AATTGATATTCAAGTATCTAGGACTTGATGGCACAGCATAAGAATTTTGTAAGCACATTTGAAACGAACAATAAATTGACATTTATCACTCCAAATTATAAGTACTCATCGCTGTCTTCGGGACTATCGTCGGAGCTCTCCTGCATGCTGCCGACCATAGTTTCGGGGCACTTAGGCTTGCTAACTGCCATTAGTGATTGAAATATTGTACGTTTGGATGTATTTTGTTCCGTAGTCTTGGCATTGGCATCCTTCGCAGCTGGGGCATTTTTATTAGTGGTATCCTTGCTGCTGCACTGCGGCTTGTCCTTGTCGGCGTCATCGCGCATTTCGACGATTTTCAGGGGCTTTCGCTTGCCAAGGCCGCGTGGCCTCAGTGGACTGCGCACAGTCGATTGACTGGGAATCTCGTAGGGACCCTCCTCACCAAAGCCGTTCCGATAGGCTTGCTCGGGTGGCTCCTGCTCGCGATAATAATACCGGTTGGGTATTGCTGCAAAGGCATCGCTATCAGTGGACGAATCTTCGCCCGATCCCGACTCAGTTGTGCATCTCGAACTTGATTCATATTCGGAACTATATCGCGTTTTCCTCGCTGTCGTCGGCGGTCTCTTCACACGCTTCATACGGGGCGGGGTCGACGGCAACTTCGAGGAGTCGGCCATAGCCTTTCGCACATTCACCTTGGCCTGTGGTTTCYTGACACCTTTGCGGKTAGCGGGCTTTGGATCTTTACTAGGAACACCCTCGGTTGGGCCGTTGCTAGGCTCGGCACGAGGTGAGGGTGACTTYAGYATCTTGGTCGGGTTGCCCTCGGGTGGAATATCCTTTTCCTGAGGTACGCCTTCAATAAACTTCCTGCTCGAGTTGAGCTGCTGCGGCGATTGCGGCAAGCTTTTCTCATTGATATTTTTGGYCTGCTTCATCACCATCTGCAGGAGAATGGGYAAATCTTTCTGGGTGAAGTTATCGCCGAACTCCCGTTGCAGCCTCTCGCGCGGCTTCAACTGGCACTTGTCGCCCGTTTCGAGGGCGAACGTCTCCAGGGTATGCTTATAGCCGTACCAGGAGAAGTAGTCGACCACCAGATAGTTGAGCAGCTGCACCAAGCCCCGCTGCCTCATATCCCCGCCACAGAGTGGGTCTTCCTTCTTCAAATCCGTCTCTCCGCGCATCATGTTCAGCACCTTCACGTGCAGCCCACTGCGCATCTCGTCCAGAATGCCATTTCGTTCGAAATGCAGCTTAATACTGTCCTCAATTAGCTTCGAGTACGAGCTATTTTCCATGACGAACTTCGAAATTACAACAACACTTCAATGGAAATTTGTATATCGATAACGAATTAAATTTATTTCTATTTTACGAACTAACTGTTTCAAGTCGAATCGGTAATTGAATGTGTTTCTGAAGCCAGTCGAAGTGTATCTGATTCTACAATGCTATGAARTTTGATAGAATGCTTACTCCGTTCATCAGCATTTGCTCTTTTTTATTTACCTACTCTATTTTTTTTCTTGTCTAAAAAGTTATTTTTTGTCATGCCCAGGGCTAACGGCATCAGCTCGTTAATCATGCAGATAACCTTGAGGTGGAGGCTGCATACATTAGCCATTAGGTGAACTTTTCTACGTCGTTGCCAAGTTTTCGGATCTGTCTCAAGAGCTGAAGTCAGAGTGCAGTGAACGACGTCTTGAAGGGCTTCAGTGACCCCGACGACTGCTGAGCAGCAGCTGCTCAGACAAACGCATTCAGAAGGGCTTTAAACTGAAATTATRTATYATCTAAATTTGGCATTTAATAAAAACAAAACGGCTTTTGATTCAAGCAGGTAATTTTCACATTTTATTTCGAAATTTGTCTTTTTTAAATTTCATAAAATCAAGTCAATTAATTTTTCTTGTACCACATAAAACGAGCATTTCGTATTTGCCAAAATGATTGTTTTGATTAGTTATCATCATAACATTCACTGGGTAGTGAAGTGCTTGTGCTTCGGTCTGGGAAACAGTCACAAGATGCGGCGTCAGTTCGTGGCAAACGATGCTCCAGGAATGGGTTTAAGCCAAAAAAAAATATAACACAACTTGGTCATGTTCGACAGTCGCTGATTAGCGTCTCTAATGGGCTCTGGACCGCTCTTTATTGGACTCGACCATTCTTTGCCGTATATTTACTTTGCTAAGTGGGGTCCTAGTAGTGTCAACAATTGCGCAAGTTTCATGCAAGGTGAGCGGGCTCTTTGGCAGCCCCTTGGCCGGATACTCTTGCATGGCCCGATATGACTTTTGTAGGTTTTCCCATCTGCTCTGGCCCTCCTTACTCAAGCTATCTCGCATCCATAAATCCATTCTCATTGGCAGCACCTTAGAATTGGTTTGGGTGCTGCCAGGACTAGATTCATGTAAGCTGTCCACCTTCTGTGGCGCCTCCTTACCGGGCTTCTCTTGCGGACTAGGACTGGGCCCATTTGAGCTATCCACTTTCTTCAGGGTATCGTGAGCTGATGTTACTCTTATCCTGCTTTCATTCATGCTCCTCAGCTGGCTAAGACTTCTGAGCTTGGGAAA